GAGAACACCCATATCAAATCTGTTGTTGGACCCCTTAAACCTTGGAGCAATGTTGCTATTGTGCCCAAGAAGAGAAAGGTTGGGTCTAAGAATGAGTCAAACTATGATGTTAAATGATATGTCCAGGACATCATGCATGTCAAGAGACTTGCTTTTAAGAAGAAGCCTGATGCTATGCCTAAAGCTCCTTTGGACAATATGTCCTTTCATGCTGCTGAATATGTAGGAAGGTGGAAATACGTGTACCAAATGAGGGTTGCTTTGGAAAGGGAGTTAGGGAAGAATACCCATAATGCAAAGATGTGATGAAGTTTATTGAAGTTGCTGGCTTGACGAAGCTGTCACTAAATTTGGCCCTTGCTATGAGAAGCTTGTTAAGGAATTTGTGGTGAACATTCCTGAAGGTTGTGATGATGCAAACAGTGAAGACTATAAGAAAGTGTATGTTAGAGGAAATGTTGTGACATTCTCCTCCACTGTGATCAACAAGTTTCTGGGAAGAACATAAGATCCTCAACCTGAGTTTGAAGATACTGATGATCAGGTGTGTTAGGAGATTACCTGTAATACTGTGAAACATTGGCCAAGCAAAGGAAATATTTTAGCTAGGAAGCTCAATGTGAAGTAAGCAATTCTTCATAGAATTGGTAATTTGAACTGGGTTCCTACCAACCATACTTCTACCATCTTTTCTGGGCTAGGAAAGTTCATATAAATTGTTGGTAAAGGAAGGATGTTTGATTTTGGTGCTTATATCTTCGACCAAATTCTAAAGCAAACTTCATCTACTGCTGTTAAACTGCCTATCTGTTTTCCTTCCCTCATTTGTGGTATAATCCTATATCAGCGTCCTGGTATCCTGGTGCCTACTGGTTATGCAATGAAAAGAGAATATCCTTTGACATTTCACTATAAGCTATTTGTTGGGAATCATGTCCCAGATATTGTTTTGACATCTACTCCAACATATGTTCCTGCAGCTTCAAAGGAGGGTACTATTGCTCAGTTGAAGGAGACTTGCAAGGATCTAGATGTTATCATCAAGTTAAGCACAACTAGGAAGGCAAAGCTTAAATAATTTATACATGCCTTGACAGCTGAGCAGGACAAGGTGACTGAAGCTGCTGGTGTCACTAATGTTGCAGTAGAAGATAAGGTTGTTGTTGATGTTGATGCTGAAGATGAGGCTGATGATGACCTTGTTGGGGAAGAAGAAAAGGAAGAGAATGACGAGGCTACTAAAGATGATATTTGAATGTAGCTTTATTATTTTGTTTTTTGTGTGGTTTTATGTTTTGTAAGGGCTGAATGCCCAGGATATTTTGGCACTGGTTGTGCTGTTTTTATACCTTTAAACTCTTGTGTTGTCAGTGTTATTATTTGTTTAGTTAGTTATCTACCTTTTTCATATTATGCCTAAAAAGGGGGAGTAATACTAACTTAACTAACTTCTAATTACTGGCTTCTGATTAAGGGGGGAGCTAACCACTTGCTACAGAATGTTTGAGGGAGAGTTTGTGGGGGAGGTTGCTTTAATTATTTTCCTGCTACTGTTCTGATTGGTTTTTGTATGCAAGGGTTATGTAGTTAGTTTTAGCCAAAATCTATCAGAGGAGGGGATTAATGAGTCCAAGCCTTTGAGGTTGTCATTAATTTTGGTAAAACTAACTTAACTGCAAGATGTCCTAACATGAAGAACAACCTGAAGAACAAGATGTTATGAAAGATGTCCTATAATGATGATTCGACATCTTTGTATGTTACTTTTCAGTTTTTGATTCTGTTATTTTATTTCCAGTTTCCAAATTATTCTGGAAATATTTGTTTATCCTAGGTGGCATTCAAGATTGAGGAATCATAGATTCTGCTGGAATTTGAAGATGTTATTTTCTAATTGTGGAGAGAATTTTTAGGAAACTTTGGATTGAAGAAACTATTTTTTTGAAAAATCAGTTGCAGATTCTACGTAAAAGAGTTGCTACGTGTTTGAAGCCCAAATTCAGTCTAGTTTATGGTTATAAATAGGACGGATTTAACCTAATCATGGGGAGAGAGAAAAATTGTTGCTTAGTGAGTACTATGGTTTGCTTATTTTGTGAGCCTTTCTTGTATCGTGTTGATACTAGAGTTTGACTATTTCTATTGAGTTGAAAGGGAATTGAGAAGAGTCTCATACCTAAGAGAGTCTTAGGTAGAAATTAAGCACGGGTAGTGATTAAGTGATAAGTTGTAAATCAGAGGTTGTTTAGCTTAGAATTAATATTATCTAGTGGACTTCATTCCTGACTTGGTAGCCCCCAGATGTAGGTGTTGTTGTACACCGAACTGGGTTAACAATTACCGTGTGTTCGTTTACTTTCTACAAGTTTCTTTATTGTTCCTCTTTTGTCATTGTTCTTAGCAGAGATCAAGTGTCTCGACATCTCTGATGACATATGAAATCTGTATACCAGAATTTCACTCTTATTACTTCAGGATTCATATTTTACTTATTTATACTCGCATGATCATCTCATAATACCCACAACTTGTTTTTACTAATTGAACATATTTCTTGGGATCTCTAGTTATTTAGATTGGGTTACCATCATATGAAACTCATTTCTCTCTAGGCATTAGTCTTATCTTCTTTAATGTATTTTGGACTTTCTCTCTAGTTAACCCTTTTGTCAAAGGATCTGCTAAATTTTTATCAGTGCGTACATGACCCACTCTTACATCTCCTTTAGAGATACAAACTCTAACAGTGTTGTATTTTCTTCTAATTTGACATATTTTACCATTAAAATAATGGTTCTCAATTTTTGCAATAGTCGCAGTACTATCGAAGTATATCAGTACAGTTGGCTTAAGTTTTTCCCACAAAAAGAGATCTCAGCTAGCAAGCATCTTAACAAACTTGCTTCTTCACTAGCAGTCGTTAACGCTATCATTTCGTACTCCATCGTGGACTGATCCAATATAGTCTATTTCTTTAATTTCTAAGATACAACTCCTCTAGCTATATTAAATACATAGCCACTAGTTTCTTTGGAAACATCTGATAAGGTATTCCAATCTGCATCATTATATCCTTCATGTATAGCAGGAAATCCATGATAATGCAAATCGAGATTCATGGTCCTCTTAAGGTACCATGTGACTCTCTCAATAGCTTGCTAATGCTTATTGTCGGTCTTGTAGTTGTTGTAATACTCATACAGATCATCAACAAGACTGTTTAAAATATGATTTTTGCAGAGATAGTCATTTTTATGCCATGGAGCAATTTATTTCTTGAGTTGTAAATCCCTCACAGGAGATTCATCAATTTTAGCATTTTCATCTGAATCCACAAAGTTCTTACCATTAGTTTGTTCAATTGATCCAAAAGAACCAATAGGAATATCCTCAGTCAGATCATTGACAGCCTTCTTTAAGGTTAGAAAAATTTACATTTTGGCTTGCCAATGTTTGAGGTGAAGACCCTCAAACTTGAATGGTTTGCTAGAGACAGTGGTCACAGTGTTACCGATAACTTCTTCGATAGGCATGACATTTTTTGAAAACGTCTTTAAAATGTTGTTTCACGGTTTTGAAAATCATCCACAAAAGAAATTATCGGGTCAAGTCGCGAACCAGATTGCTCTCTTTAAGAAGTTTTGCGATACTGCCCAAAAATATGCAAAACAGTCGTACCATTGTGTCGTCTTCCGGATAAAATAGTCTAGTTCTATATTGTACGATTACTACTTCCACGATAGATAATCGATCAAAAAATACACCCTCTGGTGGTACAGAGACCATTCAAATATGGTATAAATATCACTCGTAGTATTTGGTATGACGACCAGTCGTAATAATTTATCAAACCAAGAGAAATTCCAATAATTCTCTAAAGAGAATTCAATAATGATCATTTAATCATTCAAACTAATTTCCCAAACAAGAGAAATTCAAATAAGTCTTCAAAGAAAATCGAAAAATTAATATTTGTATTTCATCAACTCAAATAAGAAGAAATTGACATAATTCTTTAAAGAGAATTCAATAAAATATTCGAAAAATTCAAAGAGTAAAAAAAAGGGAGAGAAGTTGGCGCTTCGACAATTTAAAACACGCAGAGTTATGAGAGTAACGAAGGGAAAAACTCAACAAAAAAATTTATTTTGGTGTGTTATCGAATGAGAATGGGATTTCCTTATTTAATAAAGTGGACTAGTTAAGATATCTCTTCTAAGTAACATTGGACTAAGAAATTTTTTTAACTAATAAATAATATGAAATTTAAAAAACTTTTTTAAATCTATCTCCTTATATTTAAATATTAATATAATATTTCAACAATTTATAATATTAAATAACTATACTATAAATTACCTGATAATTATACATATATACCAATATATACCAAAATATTTGATTGCAAATCACCTGATAAACACGGATACATATCTAAAAATTTAATCAAAAGTAATTAGGTAAAGGATAAATATAATTTGATAAACTAATATTATAGGAATGTAGTCACCAATTTCGAAAAAATTAAATGGAAAGAACAAAAAGTAGGTATGTAAAACGGAGAAAGTGAGGACTTTTAAAAAATTGTAAAGACAGAAGATTAGTGTAGGAGTGTGGGGTAAAGTAAGATTGATTTTCATAATCATAAATATAAAACATTTTTGTTTTTGTTTCATTTGGACGTGAACATAAAGTTGAACTAGTCAATGCATGTGACCGACTTTGTGTTCCATTTCCAAGTCTTTATTATTTTTCTATCCTATTTGTGATTCACAAATAGACAAAACCAAAACCATGAAACAAGTTGAATTGAATTCCTCTACATACACCATAGTCAAAACATTGGAATCTTTCTAGAAAGCAACTTCATGGAAGACTCCACTATGCGTGTCTTATGGTTTTGCATCTCATATTTGATTTGAACTCTCTCAAAGATAAAAACAACATTAATAATATATCTCAACAACTTAGAAAGATCAAGAGTATACAAACAAGACAACATGGCATGTTCTGTGGCTTTTAACAACAAGGATTTGGAAATAAGTTTCTTTGTTTTTAAACCAACAATTGTGATTATTGATGATCTTGTTCATGTTCTCAAACTTTTCTCTTTAAGTACCGAAAGCCTTGGTTGTGTTCAAAGCTCTATCTTTAGAAGCATCCATGGAAATATGGTAATTCCTTTCTTTCTTTACTTTCTCACAATAATTGTTTTATGTTATTGCATGAATCACACACAGACATAGACACCAGACACAAATACAGACATAAACACCCGACACAACAATGATCGTGACACACCAGACACAAATATAGAAATAAACACCAGACACAAAAATGATCGTGACCTTGGTAATCATGATAAGAATATTTGTTTTCTCCAATCAGATTATATGGTATGGAGCATGGCAGAAGCAATCCAATAAAGAAAAAGAGCTTCTAACTTCAACTCTTGTAAGAGATATTCCTTTTCCTTTAAAATACTTTTTAAGCACTTTTTCTAAGAAAGTTAAAAATAAGCTCTTATTATTGTGTTATCTTACACAGAAATCAATGCTAGCCAAATTATCAGCCATGGCTAAGTTAATTGAACATAGTTTTCTTGAAGCATATGCTGGAGAATCAAGAGATGGTTCATCATCTGCAAAACTAACAACAGGAGACATAATATCTATAAACACAGCAGACACGGCTAGTAGGAAATATCTTGATGACCTTTCCTACGCCGTGTTAGCTTTATTCAGATCGCGCTTTGCGAAAATGGAAGGTGTGACTTCAGGTCTTTGTTTGAAAGGACAAAGTAGAGCAATTGTTGTTTGCATTCATGTGTGGAAGTCTCTTCATTTTTGTTACTCGTGGATTCTTAACTCGGATCATAGAAAATGGATGATGCCTTATCTTGAACGATTTTCGATCGATATGAAGTATGATATTTTTAAAGTAGTTTATGTTAGTGGTGACAATGTTGTTGATGTTAATTATGTTTCTCAGCATCAAAAGTTGGAAAATGGTAAAGGGAGTATAGAAAGACAGATTGTGCAGAATTGATGTTTCTGTGAAAGATTTCAAGTTTTGAACTATCATCTTTAGTTAAGTTTTTTTTTTCCATTGTAAATATTGTTGATTACTTTGTGAAAATCAGATTTATGAATAGAAATTTATGAAAGAATTAATATATATTAAGTTGTGGACTCATAAATTCAAAGAGTTTATCTCATTCTAATAATATATATACATGACATATTATTCACTTCTACCACTCTTCCATCATTCAAAAATTTATCATTTCATAAAAAGAAAATTAAATAAATAAATAAAATATATAATAAAATAAAATCAAAGCTTGTCTCCAAAACTCAAACAAACAAGATACAAGTAAAACAGAAAATCAAATATTTAGTCCAACAGCACTGAAATGTTTCATCAGGCATAAAAATCTTTGATTCCTCATTATAAAAACCATGTCCTAGCTATGATCTCGTTATGAAACCAACTCAAAACCACAAGATTCAACTACAGAAAAACAGACATCACAAGTGTCAAAAATCATTTTTCAAGAAATCACGCCAAGTCCATATAAATCTTTGCTCTGGTTTAAATGGGTCTCTTTGAACTAGTCAATCGCAAAACTCTTATCTATACAATATGCTAACTTGGTTCTTGAAGTGCAGACGCTGTAATCCAGATGGAGCTAGATTTTTCACTATGACATGACTTTCTCAAAAAGGATATTTGGTTGATGAATCCAAAGTTTTGCTGTAACTCACCAGTAATGGTGGGCACTAAAGCTATTGATGATACTTAAAAGAATACTCTGGATTAAAAATTTTTACACATTCAATTAAAAAGGAACCATTATCATGAAACACCAAAAACATAGCAAAAACAAAACAGAGGCACTTCTTTAAGTACAGAAAATGAGTTGTCGAGAATGAATCTTTATTGTCGACATTGTCTTCGTTGTCACCCAATATTGCCAGACTAAGCTCATTTTGGCCATTGGATGTCAAATTTTCATAGTGAAGGCACAGAACAAAGGAAGAATAGAAACAGAATGGATTTATAAAACTAGTCAATTATTCGTAACTATCATTCAATTCTACCCTTTTCCATCATTCAAATTCCAAAACTTATCATTTCATTAAAAAAAATCAAACCTTGTCCCAAAACAGAAGATAAAATTAAAACAGACGATCACATATAATCCCACAGCACTGAACTATTTCATCAGACAATAAAATCTTAAATTTCTCATTACAAAAACCATGTCCTAACTATGACTTCATTACGAGTCCAACTCAAAATCTCAAAATTCAACTACAGAAGAAACAGATATCATAAGAACAAAACAAACAACTCCTTGGTTTCTCTCATCCAATGCCTTTAAAGGTCTTGAACACTCAAACCTGAAAACATCAAGAGCATTATAAGTTGTGCTGCACAAATCAACAAGATTAAACATCAAACAGATAGACATAATTAATCCTTTCAAATCTTTCCTAGAGAAGACACACATAGGAAACATATAACAACCTTTAACGTTTAACCATGTTTAAACAATGTACCTTCAAAACAATTATATACAACAAAACTTGGTTTATGTTATGTAATTATATGTAAAGGTACAATTACAGACCTGGAGGAAGTGATTGCTTCAACTTGTCGGCTTTCTCAACGTCAAACACACAGAGTGTGTAAAGGTACTTGGAACATCTGACCTTGAACTTAACCACATCCTTGCTCCTCTTGATTCTCACTGACCTAGCATCCTTCCTTCTGGCAGTCAGAAGGAAATCCTTAATCTCGTTGATTTGCTTAGGCTGTCAAAGACACCATACCAATTGTAAGAACAATTGCCATATAGCATTACTATTATATAAGCAAAAATTATCCAACAACAACAAACTAGAAAAGGTTTCAGAACATAACTAACAACAACTTAGATCCTGTTTTGGATAAAAATATATAATATTTAAGCACTTATTATACAAACACTAGTGAATAAGTTCTTTCTATAACAAAAGATAATAAATTCAAAAGTTTTTTTATACCAATACACTGTTTTCATAAGCTGCAAAGGACTCACATTATAAACTAACCCAGACAGTGAAAAACTCAAATAAGTCAATCCAAACACGCCCTTAACATGATAAAAGCAATGATTACAAAAATCTATAAAAAATAACAAAAAAATTACCATCCAAGTTATAATAGAAAACACAGATTTTTTAACCCTAAAAAAAAGTACAGCCCCAATAACTTTCATATCATAAACCTAACTGTAATGTTTATGTTTACCTAATTATCAAGTTAAAAACTATGAATCTCTCAACTAATCACTTGATAAAGGTTTACACTTTCACTAGCTTAACCTCACCCAGTATCCTAGCATAAAAAAATTCGGAATAAAATCGCACAAAAAATAGTCTTCCTAACAATACCAACATTTATACGATGGAAATCAATGAAAAATGATTGAATCGGTTTCGATAATTTGTCTTTCAGAAGAATAAGCAAAACCCAATGAATAAAGAAGAAATGGTTAAATTGAATCTCAAATTTCAATAATAGATAGAAGAAGTTAAAACAAAAGTATTTGAGAAATTAGAAAAAGGAGAATGAGGAATTACCATAGTTCCAAGCGACGATGAGAGCGAACGGAAGGAAATGTGATGTAAGTTGTAGAAGGCGCAAAATGCTGCTGATAAACCCTAATTGTAATCGCTCTCTTAGTTCTTGGACTTGTTTGACCTGAAAGCCCATATCATATTTGGACCTATGGCCCTCTTTTTTTCTCTTTTTTCTAGTGTATTTTCAATCTCAAAATTTTACTTCATACCCCTATTTTTATCCATATACCTCTATTTTTTATAAAAAAAATATCAATTTTGTTTTTGTATTTTTTTAACTAATTTATCATTTTATTTTTAAATATTTTTTAAATTTTATTTTGCGTACCAGAAGACTTTTCAAAAGAGTTTCGGTAGTCATTTTTTAAGCATTTTTAAATTTTTTGGTGTGTACCGGAAGACTTGGCAAAAGAATTTCGATAGTTAATTTAAGTGTACCGGAAGACTTTACAAAAGAGTTATGATAGTCATTTTTAAAAAAAAATTGTGTATCGGAAAACTTTGCAAAAAAGTTCCGGTAATTATTTTTTAAAATATTTTTGAACTTTTATTTTGTGTACCTGAAGACTTACAAAAGAGTTCTGGTAGTCATTTTTAAAAGTATTTTTTAACTTTTTTTCTGCATACTGGAACATAAAATAAAAATTTAAAAATATTTTAAAAATAAAATAATAAATTAGTTTAAAATATATAAGGGCAAAACTGTTATTTTTTATAAAATGTAGGGGTATAGAGATAAAAGTAGGGGTATGAGGTAAAATTCTCTTTGGTCTAGATATCTCTATCTTCATTTTTCACAATACCATCAATTAGATGTTTTGGAACAAAATGATAATTTTAACAACATTCCAGATGTTCTGTGTCGGCCAAAGGCCCAATAAGAGAAGGCCCACTTATTTTGTCCATTCCATTGAGTCTAACGTATAAATATCTTCATAAAGTATTTTTCAGGTACACAATCTCTAATCTTCATTTTCACTACGATTATCTTGAACCTTAAATTGACTTGATCATTAGAGTGTTAATCATGCAGTTACCCCCCCCCCCCCCCTTTAACCCGTCGTATTGGAGATTATCAACAGTGGTCCAAGATCGACATTTATTGGTATCGTAAGTTCAAAACTAACGTCTACGATTCGAGAAGCGTCATAATCGCAACCTTTGATCCACAGTGTTGCATCACTAAATCGCTTAGGGAGTTTCACGCCGCCATAATTTCTGCGATCCTTTCCATTTTTTGGTTCTGCAACAGAATAGTGCGCCGTCTGTGGGTATCGACTTCGGATTCCTCCGATTTCCACGAGGTCAAGTTTAATTCTCATGTCTGAATTCAAAAGAGTTGAGGTTCCACGAAGTCAAGGTCTCAGTTCTACAGAAGTGGGGTCATCCAAATTCTAATCCAACTATGATCGAATGTTCATCTTGATCTCGCACCACGTAGTATGACACCAACAAACATCTTTAGATCGGGATCCGGTTATGTGGAGTTTCGACTGACCAGAAGTCTCAATCCCAAACCCTTAAAAAAGCTAATTAGTAAATCCCCTAGATCTAGATTAATATTCATTGAGACAAAATCGATCAAGTCTTGTCTCGCCTCTAGTAGAGCAGTATTCCAAGACTATCTCTACTCAAATGGTCATGTATTCGGCATACAGCAGAGCAGTAAAGATAGGAGCATGGTCTCGGATAGTCACCAAACTTACGGGGTTGCATAATGATAAAGGAGATATGAGGTGATGAGCATCCTAACGTCTGGGGTAACTCGGGGGATCAAATGGTTGATCGGGAGTCAAACAATTTTTTCAACCTTTTGAAATCTTGGAAACAATGTTAGAACTTTTGTCGCTAACAAGTATCTAATAACTAATAATTAGAATCAAAAACCTAGTCCAATCCTTAAATCAATAGATGAGAATGTTTATGAATTTCATGAAAAATCCAAAAAGTTAAAAATCATCGAGAAGTTGGATGAGTTTATTCAAATGTTAAAAGATGAATGAATGAGCTCAAGCCTATAAGAATTTTTAGGACCTTCGTCAAATAACTCTTTTGAAGAATAAGAAGAAAAAATCAACTCCAATAGTATCCTTTGAAAGAACAATCTCAGAGGTTGAACGATTCTCTGAAGATTCAACGTCCAATTGAAATACATCACCAAGAGGAGAATATGAAGTTTTATCCAGTGGAATATTCAAAAGAAAAAATGAGAAATAAGTCTTAACAAACAATGTCGAAGATTCAACGTTAAATGATAAATAAATCTTCAAAGAATCTTCTTCAAACAAAGAAGATGAAATTTCACGAAGAAGATGATCGTGGGGTAACAAAGTTATCATATAATCAACTATTTAAATTAAACGTTAAGTTTATCAAAGAAAATGATAAAATTAAAAAGCATAACTTAGATCTTAAAGACTACATTTAGTTTCTAGAAAGTGGTAGTGAAAAGTTAAAATATGAAATGGATAACCTTAGAAATCAAACTAGTAATTATGAAACTTGTGTCTTGATGAAAAAGAAAGTGAAAGATTTGCTTGAAATCCTAAGTAAATTTACAATGGGGAAATAAAAACTAGATTTTATTATATCAAATCAAAAGCCTTCCTTGAATAAAATTGGATTAGGTTTTAATTTTGGTAGATCACATAGTAAAGACTTTAATAGAAAGAAATTGAATCTCCCTACTTATAAATATTTCTATTGCGATAAGCTTGGCCACCTAGAGCCCTTTTGTTATGACGAGCTAAGAAATTCCAAGTGTAGTAACCCTAGACCTCTTAGAACAAATAAAGCACCATTACCTAAAAACATTTGGGTGTCAAAGGTGAAAATTTAGTTTGATTTAAATGAATGTTTAATAGCTTTAAATGAAGTCTTAATGCATATTAAATGACTTTGTGTAGAGCAATACGTATACCTTTTAGTATACATTATGTGTCATATGGAATTTGATTATAATAATGCTTATGATCCAAGAATGTTCAATGGTGGTGCATTCCAATGGACGTGATCAGAGCTATTTTCATTGAGGGTAGTCTCAACACTCATGATCTTTAATGATCAGCTGAACTTTTAATAGGTTGAGATATGACGAACCTTCTTAACAAGTAAACTAATCGAGTCAAAGTAATAAAAGTAAGATCTTCTCCACAAGGATTATGCTATTTTAACAAGGTGAAGTTGATGCTATTTGAAAAGTAAAATTGTGGGGTTTGGTTGAAAGTATGTTGAAAAACATTAAAACTTCAATAAAAGTTCAGATGAGAAAATGACTAAATCTTATTCAAATCCCCTAGTTTTTCCCGGTTGATGAGTGTACATTATTTGAACCGAATTGAATTTGTAAATTTATGGTGAATTAAAAATGTCATTGTACCCAATTCCTTGGTGTACATCTCACTATTTTGGACTACAATTCCCTAATTCCTTAGGCAAGTTGGATAGCAAAATTAGGCGATCTAAGTACGTTAATTCCCTAGCCATAATTTATAATCACCTATTTCGAGTTAATTATTAAATTGAACAATTACTTTATTTCCGATAGGTGGTGTTATGGTTAATAATCTTTGCGTGTATTGTTATATTTGTAAAGTTCCTAACAAAGGCGAGAAGGTTGTAACCCTCGAAGAGGACGAGGACCATATGTTGTCCCTATGGGTAATTGCCTCACCCTAAAGTATATTTAACTATGGAGTAACACGTTTCTTGGACAGAGAGAAGTCAAAGGCAATAGTTGATCCACGTCTTCCTGGAATATAGGGATTTAATTGTCCCCTACTTTAAATGAATGGGCAGTTATCATTCCCAAGGAAAACCTATGCACATGGGCCTCTATAAATATTTATCCTCTAACGGGAGAAAGATAGATCTTAACTTAACGACATATCACATAATACATACAATCATTCACCTTACGTTATTTAGTCTCTCATACCACCATAAACGTCATAAATACCAGCATATATGGTCTCTTGCCATCGTAGGCAAGCCTTAATTTCTATAAAACTACTATGGCCTCTGAGTATCACCTATCCTTGTAGGGATAACGCGCACACCTATACTTTTTGACAAGTACAGTGGCGTCAACCATAGGCCCCTACTAAAACTAACCTAGACCACCCCTCTTGCATCATCATCTTTTTCATCTTTATCAAGGATGGCTTACAAAGCTCCACATTCCAGGGTTAACACCATATATGGGGTTTCACCGAAGGAGGATGTTCCAACTCCTCCCGAAGGAAATATGTCAGGTAGGTGCTGACCAGAACATCATATCCCCAGGGTTCCTTAAAAGGGAGCAAGGAGAATCAAGAATCAACATCACATTTTCCAACAGTGATATTGCTAGAATCCTCCCTCGCGATAATGAAACTTTAGTCATCACAGTGCAATATGGCAACTAGAACATTAAGTGAGTCCTGATAAATCCCATGAGTTTTGTTGACGTCCTATTCTGGGATTCTTTCTAAGGGCTCCAACTTGACCCCAATGACATTATAGCCTTTCAGGGTTTATTTGTAGGACTGCCAAGTAAGCAAATACAAGTGAAGGGCCATATAACCTTTTAGACAACTTGTGGTGAGGGAACAAGCGCCAAGTCAATCAAATTCAGTAGACGCCATGTCGCCTTACAACATCATTTTTTACTGCTCGCCATCAATGTGTTATGGGTGGTTATTTCCACCTAGTATGTGGTCCTAAAGTACTCGCTTCTTTGTGGGTGAGTTATGACAATTCAAGGAGACAAACAAAGTGCTTAAGGGTGTTACCAGAATAGTATGGCAATGGAAAGAGAAGAGCTCGCCCTTGTGAATGCCCTCCTTCTCGAAGCCTTTGATGCAGACATCGATTGTTTGGATCCAAGACTAGGAGCTGACAACGAGAGACCTACACCCACTAAGGACTTAAAGGAAGTTAGGATAGGCCTCTCAACCCATCAAGTGACAAAGATAGGAAATTCGCTTACCAAGGAAGAAGAAAGCGAGTTATTCGACTAACTC